CTGTGCCTGGCCTGACACGCACCTGCGTCTCACCTGCGCCTAGCCTGACATGCACCTGCGTCTCACCTGCGCCTACCCTGACGCGCACCTGCGTCTCACCTGCGCCTGGCCTGACGTGCACCTGCGTCTCACCTGCGCCTGGCCTGATGCGCACCTGCATCTCACCTGCACCTGGCCTGACACGCACCTGCATCTCACCTGCAATCTCCATGTTTCCCTGAATTCTCATCTGCATCCTTCACCTCCATGCTCACCTGCATCCTCACCTGCAGCTTGCTGCCCCTTCACCTGAGTTCTCACCAACTTGCTTACCTGTCTCCGTACCAATATTTTCATCTGAATCTTTTTACCTGCTCTCTGATCTGCATCCTCACCTGTATCACCTGCATTTTTTTTGCATCCTCCGTGCCCCCCCCCACACCTACATCTTTATCCGTGAGCTCACCTTAACAGCATTCTCACCTGTTTTCCACCTGCATCCTCTTCTGCGGATGTATTTTCTCTGTGTCCTCATCCGGGGTCTCACTTGCGTGTTACGTGCATTCTTCTCTGGGTCTCTTCCCGTGTTCTCACCTGCGTTCTCACCTGCAGATTTACCTGCCTTCCTACCTGCACCTTCCCCTGTGTCCTCAGCAGCGTTCTGAACCTGCAGTCCTGCTCTGCCTTCTCACCTGCATCCTCCCCTGTCCTCATTTCCGCCCCTCCTCCAGGCTCACGCCACCAGCCCCACTTTCTAGATGGGCCCCAGACAGGCTAGTCAGTGCCTTGGGGTGGAGTGTGCCAGCCCCGCTGCACGAGAGAGGGGGTGGGCAGGGCGATGTTTCCGCTGGTGCCCCAGGGGAGGGGAAGACGTGAGTCAGCAGTCAGGGAGGCAGCGTGGGGGCCGTTGTGGTCACCGCGTCACCAGGACTGCGTGGGGAGCAGTGGCCACGGGTGTCGGGGGCCACCGCCGCTAAGGGGAACCGGAGCCCCCAGTGCCTCTTCTCACGGCACCGCTGGTCCCTTGGAGACTGGGAAGGTGCCTGTGTGAGAGGGGGGATCCAGTCTCCCAGCTCCGCACCAGGGCATCACGGGACACACCCCTGAGCCTGTAAGTCACTCCGGCATAGCCTCCTTCCCCTCCCTGGGACACCCCAGTCCTGGAACCCCCACTTCCCAACTCCAAGATTATGGGGACGTAGGGACACAACCCATCCCTGTCCCTCCAGCCCCAAATGCCAAAGCATCCCATAGAGGGGAGTCCCAAAGGGCCTCTGTGCTCCTTGGGAATCCCAGCCAATGACGTCCGCCAGGCCACCATGCTACTTCCCGTCCTCACTGCCTTTCTCGTTCCATCTCCCTTTCTCCTGCTGTGGATTCGTTTTATTCATTTCTCGAACAGCTAGGGATGTTTTTTGGTTTTGTTTATGCCTGTTTTTATTTTGAGCTGAAACCTATTGGTGGAGGCTGTGACTAGCACAGACAGGATTTCGTTTTGCTTTTAGACACAGAGTCTTGCTCTGTCAGCCAGGCTGGAGTGCAGTGATATGATCACAGCTCACTGCAGCCTCCAACTCCTGGGCTCAAGCGATCCTCCTGCCTCAGCCTCCCGAGTAGCTGGGACTACAGGTATATGCACCACCACACCTGGCTGATTTTTTTTTAATTTTTTTTTTAGAGGTGGGGTCTTGCTACATTGCCCAGGCTGGTCTCCAACTCCTGGCCTCAAGCAATCCTCCTGCTTGGGCCTCCCCAAATGTTAGATTGAGTGATGTAAGGGTTAATTTTGTGTGACCATTTAGCTAGGCTACGGTGGCTGGTTGTTTGGTCAAACACTAGTTTGCATGTTGCTAGGAAGGTATTTCTTAGATGGGATTTATGAGCCTTGGTCATGTGGGTGAGCTTCTGGGAGGCCGAGGTGGGAGGATCGCTTGAGCTCAGGAGTTTGAGACCAGCTTGAGCAAGAGCAAGATCCTGTCTCTACTCAAAATAGAAAAAATTAGTCAGGAGTGGTGGCGAGTTCTTGTAGTCCCAGCTACGCAGGAGGCTGAGGCAGGAGGATTGCTTGAGCCCAGGAGTTCAAGGCTGCAGTGATCTATGATTACACTACTGTACTCCAGCCTGGGTGACAGAGCAAGACCCTCTCTAAAAATAAAAAAAAAAAAATTTAAAAAAGAGAGAGAGAGAAACAGATGACAAGGAAGAGGCAGCTTCGGGAGATCCAGGGAAGACTGTTCCCAGCAGCAGGAAGAGGAAACTCACAGGCCCCAAGAGGCCTGGGGCAGAGTGGGCAAAATTACAATGGCCCCCAGCCCAGTGAAGGCCCCAGATGAAGGCCACCTGGCCTCCATCCTGAGCTCAGGGGCAAGTCTGGCTGCAAGCTTTTTCTACAAAGGGCCAGATAATAAGTGTGTTTGGTTCTGAGGGCCAAAAGGTAAAATCGAGGCGATTATGAAGGTACTTATAAAACAAGAGAGGAAATTTCTGGCCTGCCGTGCCCTCTTCGCTTGGGATGGGCCATCTAGGTGACAGGCGCGCTTTGATCCCAGCTGCCGGAGGCATTCTCTGGACGGAGAGTGCCTTGTCCAGGGCTGTGCAGCCTGTAGTCCAGGCAGGTTGGGTGACGGGGGTGAGGGGCAACCGCTGCTCTGACCCAGTGACAACCGGATCCCAGAGCACCTTTCTCTCCAGAGAGCCTGGCTCTCACCTTGAGCAGTGGGCCAGAGACCAGACAACTTGCCGAGCTGCCGACTTCCAGAAGGAGATTCCACCACTTGGCACCTGGCAGCTGCCAAGAGAGGAGATCCCAATATGTCAGGTGGCCACCAACGCAACCAGCTCAGGCCTTGGACAACGGCAAGGTGTTGGCCATTGGTTGACCAGGGAGGCAGGCTTTGGGGGAGGGGTGGGGCACGGGGACAGGGGAGGCCACTACAGCCAGGTCTCCGAATCTCACCAAAGTGCCATTGTTCCTTTGAGTGTACAGAAACAGGGGTCGATTTGACCCACGAGCTGGAATCTCCCAACCCCTGGAAGCCATTGGTAGATTTTAATAAGCAGGAGATAGCCACAATAGCCAAAAAGGTGGAAACAACTTAAACATCCATCAACACACAATGTGGTCCAGCCGTGCAGTGGAATATTGCTGAGCCATCGAAAGGGATAAAGCTCCAACACCTGCCACGACGTGGATGATCCTTGAACCTCATGCTCAGTGTTTGAATGAAGCCAAACACAGAAGACCACGTATGTTTCTATTTTTATAAAATACCAGAA